CACCTCCTACCTCATCTGTGAGGCCAGCATTGCCCTAAGGCCAAAAGCAACAGAAACTATAAACCAGGGGCGCCTGGGTGGCTCGGTCGCTTAAGCGTCTGACTGCGCCTCAGGTCATGATCTCACAGTTCGTGGGTTCCGGCCCCATGTCGGGCTCTGTGCTGACAGCATGGCATTCTCTCTCTCCGGCCTTCCCCTGCTCGTGCACGTGCGCACTCTTTCTCTCTCTCAAAGTAAATTTAAAAAATAAAATGAAACTATAAACTACTATTGTCTCCACAACAGAGATGCCAAAAAACAAGGAAATAAAAAAGGAAGCACTGATAATTGCACCAGGTCAAAACCTAAAGCTTCTGTTGTGTGCAAGGATGGCAGGTCTAGCTATCCAGGGAGAAAGTATCTGCAAACCACAGCCGACCCTCATTCCTCTGGCCTCTGTAGGTGCAAGTTGGCCCGCTGGTCTGGTGTGTCTGTGACCCCTTATCAGTCGTCCTTGCGTATAGGCTCAGAGCCGTGAGACCGAGCTGGGGCGGGTGCTTTGTTCCACACTGAAACCAGTGTCCTCTTCCCCGTCTAAGGTGGTTGGCTCAGGGCCATGCCGCCTGCACTTCTGGACCTTTGCTGGTGGTTTCCCTACTCACACTGCCCGGGAGCGCGGAGGATGCAGAGCCATCTGGTGGTCCTCAGTGCAAGAAGACCACCCTGGGCCTCATCCGCTGACTGCGGGTCGGGTAGTGTTGTGCCTGACATCAGGCGTCCGTGAAGCAAGCGCACAGCATGCCAAGTTGCCTACTGATGGGCCATGGTCCCCCATAAGCAAGGTGGCAGTATCTGCGGCACCTGCCGCAGGTCGTGAGTACCCTTGGCCTCGGACAAGGGAGGAGGGCCTGTACCCCAGTGCCGAGGAGGCGTTCCACCAGTGAATGCACCCAGGAGCCGCGGGGGAAGTTCAGACCAAAACCAGCACCACACACCTATGGGGGCAGCTAGAACACTCCCCGCCCCCGGATGCTGGGCAGGAGGCAGGAAACGGGGTCCCCCCCTCCCCCCGGAGCGCACTGGGGTGCAGCAGTGCTGGGAAAACGTGCAACTCCTGGGACAATAAGCTTGCCGCCACCACCACGTGAGGCAGCCTGGCCTCTCCCGGGCCCGCATCCCAGGGACACGGAAACCGTGCGCACACAGCCCGGAGTGAACATGCACCACCCAAACGTCCCCGCCCCCGCGGGGCTGGAACAGAGCGTGACAGACCACTACACCAAGCTGCGCGAGGAGATAAGGACACAAAGCAACCTCACGAGACACAGCAGCGCCCCCTGGTGATAAGACTAACAACTCATGGGCACGCGGACCGCGCGTGCAAGAGGGGCTGCATGAGGCCAGCGGGTCCTGTGTGATACCGCGGGGGTTCTGCAAACAGTCCCCACCGCGAGGCTTGGGGGGGACCCTGCAAACAGTCCCCACGGCGGGGGGAAGGCTGAGGGTGTACCCTGCAAACAGTCCCCAACGGGGGTCTGGGTGCAAACAGTTCCCACGGAGGGCAGAAGGGGGGAGCTGGGGAGGGAGCCTGCAAACAGTTCCCACTGCGGGGCTGGGGGAGTACCCTGCAAACAGTCCCCGCGGGGTAGGGGGAGGCTGGGGGACCTGCAAACAGTCCCCACTGCGGGGCTGGGGGAGTACCCTGTAAATAGTCCCCACAGGGCAGGGGCGTGCTGGGGGGGGACCCTGCAGACAGTACCCAGGGGGTGGGGGGAGGCTGGGGGACCTACAAACAGTCCCAGGGAGGAGGGGTGCTGGGGGACCTGCAAACATCCCCACGGAAGGGGAGTGGCTGGGGGACCTGCAAACAGTCCCCATGGGAGGTACTGGGGGGGGGGGGGGGGCCCCCAAAAACCCCCCCCAACAGGGGGGGGGGGGGGGGGGGGGGCACTTGCAAACAGTCTCCATGAGAGGGGGTGGCTGGGGGATGTGCAGTCCCCGTGGGAGGGGTGCTGGGGAACAGGGAAGTGGGACCTGGTGGTGGCGATGACCTCGTAACAGTTCCCATTAAGCCAGAGGTCCACACAAGGTGTGGGGGGACCTGAGGCAGGTCCAGAGAGGACCTGTGAGTCCCATGGCCCCCACTGGTCTTCATCCTGCCACACCTCCTGTGCTCAGAACTTCCAGGCCACCTGACACCCTACTGCCCTCCACCCAGGGGGCAGCCCTAGGCAGCGTCCCCCATTCCTCCAAACCCCATGCTTTAGATAAGGTCTAAGCCCCTGACTCCTCACCAGGGAACCCTGTCCCCATGCCCCCACTCGCCACAAACCCTCCCGCAGCTCCTGCCCTGCATGGCAACAGCCGCTCTCCCACACTGCCCCCCTAAACTCTGCCCTACTCTACCTCTGCCCCTTGAGGCCTCAGGATCCTGCCCTTTGCCCACACCCCTTCCCAAGAGCCCTGCCCCTAGCCACACTGGCCTCAGCTCTTTGAAGGGCATGCGAGGTGCGGTATTGGTCAGGATCTTTCCCCCACGGTGGGCCCTCTGTCTGGACACAGCCACCACAAATGCTTGACCCCATGCTGAATGTACCCAGCCACCCAGTGCCACCGACCCTGCACACAGTCCAAGCTCCCAAGGTGTCCCAATGCCCATGAGCCCAGCCACCCAATGTGCCCCAACCCTGCACACAGCCTATCTTCCCAATGTACCCCACTGCACATGAGCCCAGGGCCCCAGTGCTCCCCGACTCTGCACACAGCCTATCCTCCCAGTGCACCCAGTCTCCCAATGTGCTCTGACCCCACACACACCCATCCCCCTAATGCACCCCACCTCCACACACAGCCTGCCCTGTTCCCAGCTTAATCACAGAAAAGCTAACACAACCCAGCATACTTTGTGCTTTAGTTCATGGCTGGTGGGCGCTTAGTAAGCCTCTGAGTGAACAGATGAGAGAGTGAAAGGTAGCCCAGGACTCAGCAGTCTCCAGAACATTCTGTTAATCAACAGGGTCCCTGCTGGCTGGCTGCTGACCTTCCCTGACCATCTCCTCCCTTTGAGGGCTGACACAAAACAAAACCTTTGGAAATCACTCATTTTTCCCGCAAACACGAACGTGACCACACTAGATCAACATCCTCTGGGAAGAAAGTGGAGCCAGGGACCCTGAACTGTCCGGGTGCCCAGACCATAGAGAGTGGATGGGGCTCCCCACCGTCCCTGAGACACAGGCAGGCATCCACCCACGATGACTGAAATCTAAACACCAAGTCTCCACGTGGAAATTACGAAGGCTGACCACACCACATGGTGGCAAGGCCATGCTGCTGGCTGAAGCAGGAAACGGAACAGTCGCCAGGTCACCCAGAGAACACAGACAGCTCCTTACTGGGGACCTCCCCCTACCCGCAGCTCTGTGATCCCACCCCAGATGAGGCATGTGTCCACAAAGGGCTCGCTCCCACAGGAGGACTCAGAGATGCTCACCATGGTCCAGCCACCCGCCAGGCAGCACCCCACCTGAAGCCCCAGGCTCTGCACATCTGTGGCAGCTGGGGCACAGGGACTGGCCGGGACAGGCCGGTGAGTGCTGCCCGGGGACGGAATGTTCCAGACCTTCCTCCAGTCTTGGGTGCACAGCCATATGCACTCCACACAATCCAGGAAATAGCAAGATTGGTGCATTTCATGGTAGCCAAATTTTACCTCCCAGGGAACGAAAGACGTTGATGATGAGGAAGGCATTAGGAGGGTGTGAGGTCTGCCAGTTTGTTGGAAATGCAGCAAAACACAACCAAGGCTGAGGGGGGGCCAGGTGATGGGGTCTGGCAAGTGGGGTGTCATCGGGCACATGCACCGGTGCTCACAGCAAACTCTCACGTTCCGTGCGGGGTGCTCATGATGAAACGTTGGGGGAAGCATGTCTTAACCAGCTTCACAGTGGGGGCAGGGGGCTCCCCCAGGAGGGCCAGGTCTCCAGAACCCAGCGCCCTCTGACATCTGCCCACTGGCCACACTCTCAGGGCATTGGGGCAGAGCATAAGACCACTTGCTTCCTGGAACTCCGTACTTCTTACAAACAAACTGAGGCGGACCCAAGAACCAGCAAGGGGCTTCCCGAGTGCCTGCACTGTCCTCCTGGAGCTCGACATTGACGAACATGGAGACAAGCAGATGTAAGCATCAAACCTCAACGGGACCCCTTGGTCCCCTGGCATGTACACTGGGCAGCGCACCTTACAGCCTCTGAAAGCCACAGACTCTTGGAAGCTCTGGTGATTCTATGAGGAGTGACAAGGTCTGTCCAGCAAAGGAACACTTGTTTTGGACAGCAGCTTTCGGTTATGATCCCTGAGGTAGAACTCAGACTAAACAGAGTGTCTCAGGTCCCAATGACCTGGATGCCTAAGGACAGTAGGGGACACATGATCTGGAATGCAGCATCTCATTGGGCAGCTGCTGGAGCTTTCCGCCACAGTGGCCAGCCTCCCTCCCGGTTACTCTCGGCTCCCGGCATGGGACTCCAGGTACCCACTCGGCGGGTGGGTCCACGGACTGTGAGGAGCCCAAGCACGTCCAGCACAGCACAGGTGCTGGGCACAGGCACACACCCACTGTGCAAGGCTGGCTCCCAGGCCCCAGGTCACATGCAGAGGGGCGCTGCACAGTCTGCAGCTGGACAGGAGACAAAGTCCTGATGTGAGGTCTGAGTGTTGGCCTGGAGACCCGCCAGTGGGGGCTGAGGGAGGGCAGTGCATACTTGCCAGTGAATCGCCCCGTGAGGGCCCAGATGCTGGCACTAACTCGGTTTCCTATTAGCCTCTCCCCTCCGTGGATACGAAGGCAAGCCACGCCATCCACCGCAGACTTGGAGCTCCCTTGCTGTCCCAGAACAAGGCCTCTTCCTGGGACTCTGCTGGCGTATTTCACCTGGAGTGCTCTCGGTGTATCTGCTCTACCCAAAATGGAGTCCCAGCACCTTCCACCCAAAATGAAACCAGAGCTCCACACATGCTGCTTGTGCGTCACACTTTAATAGCCACTCCGGGGCATCACGCGGGACACCCCTAACCATGAGATTCACATTGCATGGGACAGTGCAAGTCAGTGGTTTCAAGAAGAGAAGAAAGTCAATCTCTTACTGTTAAAACATAGCCACGCCTCAGAAAAGCAGCAAGTAAACCAAGCAGAAGCTCCTCCTTGTCAGAGCCCTGCTGTCCCACCCCAGGGCAGCTCCTGGGGTGGAGGGGGAGGGGCGCAGCAGAAACCTTGGTGCACAAGTGGGGCCCCCATGTGAAATTCACAGGGTGTCCCACAGCCAGCACATGGCACACCAGTTCCCAGGGCCCACCTGCCCTTTCAGCCAACCCCAGATGGAGAGGAATGCAGGCAGCCTGGGGACAAGGCTCTGGACCGTCCTGTCCTCAGCCAATAGATGAACCACCTCCAAACCCACACAGCTGGGACCCTGTCCTTCCCCATCGGAGGGAAACTGCAGCTCACCTTGGCACAGGGGCACGTGAAGGGCTGGCTCCTCCTCCTGGGTCCCCAGGAGGACTCCTGCAGCTCACAGCCACAGAGCAGCAAGGGATGACAGCCACAGCTGCCCGTGGGACCCTCTTTGGGAAGCACGGTGGGTGGGAAACACAAGCCAACCACACCTGCAGCCCTGGGAGCTAGGAGGCCAGCCTGCAGAGTGCAGCAGATGGACAGAGCCCTCCAGGGCACCCTGGCAGCCCCAGGGCTGCAGGAGCAGAGGGACGTCCTTCCTGGCTATTTGGCGACTGTGGGCCACCAGTCCGGTACAGACACAGTCAGGGCCACCTGGCCGCTGTTGGAGGTCCTGATGTGGAGAGGGCCCTTAATCTTCTCTGCCCGCAGCAAGGCGAGGCCCACATCCCCCTGGCCAGCCCTGTACTTGCCGGCGGCCTGACCCGACTCGGTGAGCACTGGGGCGCCCAGAGCGATGCCATCCTCAGGGACAGGCCCCAACAGCTGCACTGGGAACAGGCGTTTGCGGATGACGCCCATGTGGTGGGTGCGGGCGGTCAGCTCCTGGCCTATGTAGCAGCCCTTACTGAAGCTGACACCATTCATGAAAGCCAGGTTGGACTCCAGGGGCAGGGCCACTCCTGGGGGCAGGTCCCGGACCCCCTCAGGAACGCCTGTGGGGTGGGAGGGGAGAAGCTCTCTGAGGGCTAAGGCCTCCTCGGGAGCTGGGGGATGGTGGGCTCGTGGAGAAGGGCCAACACTGGACACAGCGCCTGAGCCCTCCCCCCGCCCCCACCAGCACAGCCCCACCCCGTCCCTACCTTGCTGGTACCGGTGTCTGTGATAATCCCGGGGGTCTCCGAGCCGGCCTCTGGACACCGGCACCAGGCCCTCATCCCGGATGAGAAGCCGCCAGCCCATGCGGGCGGTCCGGGGGTCGGGGGTGAGGACGCTGGTTCTGTCGGTCCGCTCCCGCAACGGCGCGGCCCCACAGACCTCCTCGGGGCAGTCAGGCAGCAGAGCCCACACACGCAGCTCAGGGCACGGCTCCACCACGACCTTCCGCCGGATCCTGTACAGTGCCAGGTGTGTCTCCAGGGCGCCCAGCACCGTGCTGTCACACTCCAGGAGGAAAGCGGGCGCCTGTTCAGCGAGCTCATGCTCTGGGAGCCTGCAGGTAGGGGCAGGGGCTCCTGAGGGTTGGCCTGGGGCCACCGCTCTCCACCCACCGTGCTCCAGACCCCAGGTCTGCTGCGGGACCCTCCCTACCCGGGGTGCGAACCACAGGGAGCGGTCCACTTGGTGGAAGACAGGCCGTGGCTGGGCAGGTGGGACCCAGGTCCGGGGACCACAGTGCTGTTGGTCTGGTCCTCCACGTGAGGGGGAGAGCTGCAGGCAGCCTCACAGGACCAGGACCTGCCTCCTCTGGCCCACAGAAGCCAAGGGTCTGAGGTGGGTGCCCTCAGCACTCACGATGGGGGGCAGGCTGGGGGGTAGGTGGGACAGCAAGCAGCGGACAGAGCCGAGGGGATGTGCTGTGAGGCCACTTACAGTCTGCCCAGAGCCACCTCCCACTTCCCAAGGAGAGCCCTGGAACCCTGTCAGGGCCCCACAACCACCCTAACTGCACTCTGGACCCCCACTGCCACAGCAGCAACCCTGGAACCTGGTGTGCTAACCACATGGGACACGCAGCACAGAGAAGAGACTGGTACAGGGACCTCAGGGCTAGACGTTCAGGACCCACAAGAGTATATAACCAAGATCCTGGTCGTAGATGTGGACAGGACTAGGATCCCCAGCCCAGTGGAAACAGAAAGGGAACGGATAACACCTTCCATGAGCGTGCCTGAGAAACTACCAACTAGTACCCCCGACCCCTCTCCCAGGGCCCATCATCTGGTGTCCCAGACCCCTCCTCAGGGCCCAACATCTGGTGTCCCAGACCCCTCCCCAGGGCCCACCAATTGGTGCCCCCAACCCCTCCCCCAGAGCCTATTATCTGATGTCCCAGACCCCTCCTCCCCCAGAGCCCACGAGCTGGTGCCCCCAACCGCTCCCCCAGAGCCTACCAGCTGATGCCCCCAACCGCTCCCCCAGAGGCCACCTGGTTCTGATTGGACTAGCTCATCAGCTGGTATACTTTTGGGGGAGGGTTCATGGAACCAGCTGATGTCGCTGACCTCTACCCTTGATCCCATCATCTGGTGCCCCCCGACCACTCCCCCAGAACCCACCAGCTGGTGCCAACCCCTCCCCCAGAGCCCACCAGCTGGTGCTTTTGACCTCTACCCTTGACCCCATTAGATGATGCCCCAACCCCTCCCCCAGAGTCAACAACTGGTGCTCGCCCACCTCTCCCCTCAGAGCCCACCAGTTGGTGCCCCTGACCCCTTCCCCAGAGCCCACCTACTGTGACCCCAATCCCACCCCATCACTTGGTGTCCCTTACATGTACCCTTGACCCCATTAGCTGGTGCCCCAGAACCTTCCTCTCAAATCCATCAGCT